CCTTGGTGGTAGTTGTTGAAAATCAACCCACTTCAAAGTCTGTATTTTAATCTTCACTATTTCTTGCTTTATCTTCATTAATTGTAGCATTTGTTGTAGGTCAGTATTATTTCCAATGGCTGTGTTTCTTGCTTCAAATCAACCTTCACTGTTTCTTCTTCCTCAGAGTCAAGTATAGTTAATTCGGGATCCATCCATCCTTCAGAAAAAAATATTCCTTCTTTTAGTGGCCAAAATTGTTTCTCTTTCTCTAATATAGCAAATAAATTCCATGATAGTTTATTTATTGGTTTTGCTAGTTTTGTTTCTTTATCCACAGTTTCAAATTTTTCAAATTTTTCATATACTTGTTGTGTTTCTTGTATATTCTGTTCAGTTTTGGATTGCACACCAACCACCACCTCGCTAAAAGAAGCATCAAGTTTATCAAAATGCTCTTTTTGTTCAATTGAGAAGATTTCCTGTTGTATCAACAACACCTCTTGGGATGTTTGTAAAGCTGTTAAAGATTCTTGTATTGCCAAAAGTATTCTCTTTAGTTCTTCCATCGTTACAATAATTCCAATAGCCACAGAATGGCAGCCAAGGCCAATTCCACTTTTCTTTTCTCTAGATCACTAGCGGTCAGAAGGTTGGCAAATTGCCAAATACTTTGGCAGCGGTCCCAGTAGCGCAGGAGAGAAAATGGAGATTCTTATATCCTTGTGCCAATTAATTCCACCATAGTTATTATTCCTTTTTCTTTTTTTTTTTCCTCAGTCCCAACTTTCATCTGCATTTCAAACTCTCTCTCTCCCATATAAACTTTAAATCTTCTCCCCTTGCTGCTTCAAAAACACCACGGCGGGGAGGAAATTCCTCCTTCCATCAACGGGTCTCTTCCCCCCCCCTTCTTTATACCAATGAGCAACAGATATATTGTAGTATTGCAAAAGGAAGTATTGCAAAAGGAAAATAGGAATGCTCACCCAAACAGTTGTCACATTAAAGAAGAAAGCATCCCACAATGTGAAAAATATCCTGGCGAGTGTCCAGTTGATCTTGGCAGAAGTCCAAACAGATATCCAAAATGATCGGTCAAAGTTTTGAACTCCTATCACTTAATTGCACAGTAATTATTTAATTTAATTTTTCGCCCTTAGAGAGGTTAGAGGAAAAAGTCTTTTTCTTCGGCTTCAACTTGGACAAAATCCTCAGCACTCTCTCATCTCAGTCACCACCTAAACATCCGGAAGGCTTTTTCTTATCTTAATGCCAATTATAAACAAATGCAGCTTCTCCACGAGTAGTATTGCAAAGAGAAATAAAAAATATTTACCCAGCAGTTCCAATGCTTATCTGGCTAATAAAAAACCTAAGCTAATCTTCTAAGATGTCGAGAACTTGAAGGGGCTGGACCACCCCCTATGTTACTCGGTTGAGAAATACCTGAATTTCTCCCAGCAGATATGAGATTACCTGGGCATGCTTTTGGCTTGATATGAGATGGCAATCTGTCTTCGCCCCTACAGGGCTTAGATGAGCCTCCCACGACTCACTGCCGAGCAATACTGGCATGATAACAGAGCCCCATTAATCACAGTCGTCTCATTCCAATGCCATTTTCCTTTTCCTCTTGCTTTGCAGGTTTCTATTGCCTAATTAGGCCTGGCAATGCTCAGAGAAGTGGTGCTGCACCATGTAAACATTCCCAGAGGGGGCTCAACCTCAAGTGTTGCTCGCATGCATGCCACTGTGTGCTCTATGCTGCCCCTTTGGATTTGTACAGCTATATTTCCAATTTGATGTATATAACATATTTTAATGTTGTATTTTCTAACCTGGATGAAACAGCTTTTACCATCCTCATGCTTCTCCACACTGCACAGACCCTTTCCTCCCTGCAAGCTCAAGCAAATCATGCCATGAATGCCAAAATAGTGGTTGTATCTCCTTGTCAGCAGATTCGGATGAGGTTGAGGAGAAGCTGGACTGCTGGTGCCACTGTGGGTGGCTGGAGGGAGGTGCAGAGAGTGGATGCACAGCCTTTTTTGGATGGGGCTGCACTTGCTGAAGGATCACGTGCGCAACCTGTGGGTGCTTCTTGATCCAGCATGGTCACTAAAGACCACGTGGTCTCCCAGAGCATCTCTTTGGAGCTTCCTCAGGCTCCTCAGCCATGTCCCATCTTGGCTTCCTTCCGTGATCCTTGTACAAGCAACTCCAGGCTGGATAATGCAGTGCCTGGCAAAGTGCCCAGAACCTCCTGTGCAGAACTCTGCTGCTCTGCTCAGTGGACACACATGACCTCAAGGACGAAGCAGCTGGGCTCTCCTATGTTTGGCCCTGGGCCCAGCTCAAGGTGCTGGTGCTTCCTGCTAAGGCCCGACATAGCTTGTAGCCCAAGTATCCAAGGACTTGGCTACTTGGTGATTGAAGAGGCCCTTTCCTGTGGGCATCCTGTAAGAGGAGTGCCCACCTCCTCGGCAACAGAGAGGGCTGCCTGCCTGGTGGAGCTCCAGATGAGGAATGCTCTTCTATGGGAGTGTGCCTGGCACCAGCCCTGTGCTGTGCACAAGAGCGGGTTAGTCCCTTTGGATTTGCACATGTGTTTTTCCAATTTAATATATATAAGATATTTTAATGTCGTATTTTCTAACCAGCTTTAACCATCCTCATGCTTCTAGTTATGTTTAGACCTTAGGCATTTTTGTGCGGGATCTTTAATGTCAAATTCTCTTGGGATAAAGTATCTACAGTTTTACAATGCAGCAGCAACACTAACACATGCCACAGGTTGCGGAAATACACAAAAAGTGAAATGCATGATTAATTGTAGCCCTGCAGGCTTGTGCAAGGGTCCTAAAGCAAAGCAAGCCTGAATGAACTGCAGTGGCCCCTGGTATAGCTGATAAGCAGCGGACGCCGAGAAGCCCACTGCAACCAGCCCCTGGACACAACAGAAGAGTGGGGCACCCTTTTATCATATGAGGTAGACTTGTGATAATGTGAAAAAGTATTGGATTAAAATACATAGATGGATGAGGAAATATTACAAAAACCCTTTGCTTTTAAACCTGAAGTTTTCTTGTTAGGCATCTTACCGGAAAACATTAACAGACAGGAAATGTATTTGATGTTACACCTAATCACAGCGGCGAGGATTGCATTTGCTCAATATTGGAAAAGTGAGGAGCTACCCGCTGATGGATTGATTGTAAGAAAGATCTTGGACTGTGCAGAAATGGATAGATTGACTTTATCACTGAAGGAGAAAGAGGACACTGACTTCTATCAAACTTGGGATTCTTTCTATAACTGGCTGGAGAAACGGGACTTGGAGTAAACTTAGAGATGTTTTCAAATTATTATAAACTGATTTGAATTTGACTATAGAATGTTAAAAAATATGTAGTAGGGGGTTGACCCAGTAAATCCGATGTATGTGATGTTTGATATTTTTAGTATTAGTTTAAAATTTTAATAAAATTAAAAGAAGAAGAAGTAGAAGAAGAAGAAGAAGAAGAAGAAGAAGAAGAAGAAGAAGAAGAGTGGGGCACTCGATATCTTGAAGGGCATGATCTACAAATGGGTTGGCACACCTATATGTGGTATGAGAAGTGTAAGACACATGATTTTTTTTAAAATCATTATATTAGACAGTCATTAATGTCAGTGTGGGAAAAACTGTACACTAAGTTGCCAAGATGGCTTTCACCTATGGAAGCTCTTGTATATCCAAATGCATTGAATTTTGACATGATTGTGAGATATGATGATATTTTGGATAATGATGGAGGATTGAAACCGAACCAAGAATGACAAGAGCAGGGTATTACTATCTCTTGGTGGCATAAGGTTCAAATACAATCGAGAGATGTTAAAGATTATAAAATGTGGGGTTTTTATAAGGAGTTAACAATATTTGACCAAGTGATCTTAAAATCAGATGAGAAAATGATTAAAAGACTGTATAATTTTATTTTGGATTTGAGAATGAAAGATGAACAAGTTAAGGAAACTATGATAACATGGGCACAAAATTTTGGATATAATATTGAGTTACAGGAATGGCAAACGTTGTGGGAAAGAAATATCAAGGTAACATTATTATTATTATTATTATTATTATTATTATTATTATTATTATTATAACATTTCTATGCCGCCCCTTGCCAAAGCCTCGGGGCGGCTTACAACACAATAAGATACATTGAAATACAATAGAACATAATAAATTACCAATAAATACAAAAATACAAAAAATACACTGAGATACAATAATATAAAATTAAAATTAACAGTATAAAATAAGTAAGTAAAGAATATAGGAGGAGGAAAGAGAAGGAAGAAGAAGTTGCCCTGGCCAGATCATATATTTTAACAATTAAAATGATGTTTAAATAAAAAGGTTTTTACCTGGCGCCGAAAAACCAGTAACGAAGGTGCCAGGCGGACCTCTTTGGGGAGTGAATTCCATAGGTTGGGTGCCACCGCAGAGAAAGCCCTCCTCCGAGTACTTACTCTCCTAATTTCTTTCATGGAGGGTTCCCGGAGAAGGGACTCTCCTGCAGATCTCAAGGGGCGGTCGGGCATATACGGACGTAAGCGCTCGTTCAGGTAGCCAGGACCCAAGCCGTTTAAGGCTTTATAGGTCATAACCAACACCTTGAATTGGGCCCAGGCTTCAATGGGAAGCCAGTGAAGCTGACGGAGAACTGGAGTCATGTGAGCA